GTTAAATAACATTTTGTTATTTTCAATTTTCATATGTGTGTCAAAATGTAAATCAATTCCTTTCTGTAGTTAGCTTTAATGTAAACAACGTTTATATTAACGTGTGCATAACAAAGAAACTAATTTTGAGTCAAATTTAGTACAATTTATTCAGTTAAATTATTTAACACCATTGGTTTACTTAAATTAACGGCATATTGAATACACGGAGAAAATTTTATATTTAAAATTACTATAATGTGGTAGAAGCTTCATATAAATCATAAGTTTAAATGCTACAGTTATTTTTTTAAAAACAATAATATAACGTAATTTTTACACTTTTTTATAGTAAAAATTTTTTATTACAAAATCAAATATACCTAGCGAATTTTGTTTGCGTACCATAGTAAAAATTAACTGTTTTTATGTTAGAATATAGCTTAACAAAATAATTACTTTATTTATCTGATAAAATTAGTATTAGTAAAAATTAAGTCGGAATCATGTTGTGAGAGTCCATCGAAAATACAAGACAGTAAAGTGTAATTTAAAATTGTATTAAAACTTAATATAAAATTTTCTCCGTGTAGGAACAATGACGAGCGCTGCATAGAAATGGTTAAAAATAACTCAAATTGGATATAATTCAACATCGTAAATTTAACGGTGTAGAAGAAAATAAAATAATTTGAAGAATTATTGAAAGAGTAATTGAAAATTTTAATTTTCGTTTTTCTCCTGTCTCTAGATGAAAGCTTAAATTAATGGGCGGATAATTATCACGTATAAACAATTATACACTTTTGTTTGCAGGATCGCTTTTCGCGCCAATTAGTGAAGCATCTCGCGATAACGTCGAATAGATTTATCGCGCACGATAATCATATATGGAAATGTTGCAGTTCGTAGAATAGCTGGGCTTCAATACTTGGTGCTGATTCACTGCTTCATTCGCGTTTATTCGGTGCCCCTTCGTACGCTCGCTCTCGCGTTGCACTTTCATTCCAAGCCTTCTCGTCGTGACTTCGATATTGCGGGATCATCGGTCGGTCGGACGAGAGATACATTAAAGGCGTGGGAAACTATCCGCGGCGAAACATTGCTTAACTCCTCGTCTTTTTCGCTGTCGGTCAAATAAACGTGGCCTCTCCAGTGCGTAGACAAGATGCTCGGCAAATTATGAACAAGCGCGATATGAGTTACGATATCGTTCAATTGTGAACGGACACGATTATAGTTTTAACACAGGCTATCGCAGGTCGATAAGAATTCGTATCAAAATGTTACGTAAATATTAATTCGCTATTATATAGTGGCTGTCAATAAGTAATTTTATTGAGAATTGCTCATCAGATAAAGAATTTTTACAGATACAGATTTAGTATACAAGTATTGAACATAATGGGTTTGGAGCGTTATACTATAAACTTCAAAATTCAAGCATAACGTCACTAAAAATTAACGAAATTTAAATTTAAAAAAAGAGTTTTAAAGCTTATATAATAAAATCTGTACATTCGAGAAGTCACTATGCCTCTTGAGTTTTTATGAATTTGATAATTTTAACATGTAATTATTAAAGCTAGACAAAATAGGAAATTTAAAGTTTTTCCTACAAATTTTTTTAAATCTTTTTTTTTTAAATGTTTCTAAGATTTGTTGTTACTGAGTTATCGCGGATTAAATAGGAGCATTTTGATGTTGATTGCTCGTAACTTTGTTAAAAATCATTGCACCGCAATTAAAAAAAAAACGGATTCTTAAAGCTGAAATGTTACTCTATCGAATGATGTAATTGCGAATTTTTTTAAAAGAACAGATCCAGACATGACAAATGAAATAACATTACAAATTTTTGTTGCAATTCATAATATACATTCTAGTATTTAAAATATCACATTTTTAAGTTGATTATAACGAGAATTTTATTAACTTATACTACTGATAGATTTAGTTGAAGTATCTAACAATTTAACAAGATATAGATCTGAAAATAATTTTATTGAACTATCAAAATAATTATGCGGGACGTTCAAACTGTTGCTAGAATGTTAAAACTTTGCAGCATTGTTTATGCTTGAGATTCCTACATAATAATTTTATGGTCTAACAAAATTATTTTCAGCTCTGTATCATAATTAAATTTTCAGGTAGTTTAGCATTCTTTCCGTGTATAAATTGAAAAATAGATTGAAAAATTGCCATAAAATTATCTGTTGGCAGGAAATTTTAGGAAGTCACTGTATATTAAATATATATAGATTTTTTATGGATAAGCTTGTACATTTAATATCACGTTTTATTGATATTTTATGCAGGATAATTTTTACCGTATTGTCGGTTCTTGTCCAATTTGGAATAATTTTTCTTTTAGAAAAAAATGCTTTTCTGAAAATTTCTGCTTGATCAAGCGATGTTTAAAAGAAAACGATGTTTTGCATCTTCCTGTCCATAGCAACCGTGTATCAAATTCGTAACCGACGAATAATATGGACCACCGTGTCAATAATGACACCGAATATTGTCACGTTTGGAACCGCATGACAACGCGATTGTTAACTTTGTTATGCGGTATCGTCGTCCTTCTGATGTAGATCGCTACTTTCGTTAATCAATCGCGATTGATGGATGTCGCATAGATTGCCGTTGTTCACTTCGTCGTCGTCGTCGTGTGGCGATTGACTTCATCATCACGTTAGCTTCATCATCATACCAGGTTCGCGATACGTTTCGGCGAGCCTCGAGTTCGGTACATGCAGGTCAGAGTCATCGTCGTGCCACGGTAATCGATATAGCATCGGATATTCCCATTTTTAGGCACAGGTATGACGAAGGAAGCTCCAAATATCGAATTTTCACCTGTTCTTAGACGACACATATTTTAGGATAGAATTATGTAATTAATAAGACAGATTGATTCATTGTAATTATTGTATTTAACCTGTATTATCATAATAAGACAGAATATCTCATTTTATGTGTCGTAAATAAAATCCGTATTTTAGAATTGTATAATTAATAAGGTAGAATATCTCATTTTACATGTTGTAAATATAATTATAAATTAAAAGGAAATTTTACATTACACTAATTCAGATGTGCGCGATCAAAATATAGTGTTTTTCTTTGATTCTTTATTTTTAAATCTTCTGTAGGTTATCGTGGTTTATCGTGCTAGGTCACGCCTGTACATGACAATTTAATGGAATTATATTATGAATAAAAGATATTAAATTCTTTCGTTAATTATTGTAATTCTTTCACGCTTATCAAGCGTGTTATTTGCTTTTGAGATTAATTGCTGCGGCAATAAGCTACAATTGTAATTAAAAATAAAGATCGTGGATCGTGATTATTAAATCGCTTGGTTTGCTACGCATATGTTGGTAAAATGCGAAGTATGAAAAATGACAACGAGAATTATGCGAATGCTGAATCATACGAGTCTTTTGAATCATCTTTGAATATCTGAATCATCCAAGTGCTAAAAAATGCAGCTGGATATTCCATCTTTTTAAAAAAAAGGTTTACCTGGAATCGTGTTGATATCTTGCGATCATGAATCTTGCGATCATGAATTAAGGATGTATTATATATATTTTTTGATGAAATGACAAAATTATAAAAAAATTACTGATTTTTCTATATTATATTTGTGAAAGTGAAAAGTTTGACAGTGATTTAGAATCTGGATTAAAAATTATTCCAAGTAGGCGCGTTATTAAAAAATAAGTAATGTAAATTAGAAAATTTTTATTTCAATTATAAAATTGTATTATTATATATTCAGTTAAAAATAAATGCTAATATTTTTCTCATTAATCTGAAATTCTTTTACTTATATTGTTTCTTATTAATTACCGACATTATGCATAAGTGTAAAGGGTTCTTGAAACAAAAGATAATTCACAGCAAATTCTATACCTATATATCTATTTTTAAACTAAAATATTGAATAATGAAACATATTTAAACACAATTAAAATTGCTAAAATAATTAAAATTATCCCGCCGCATATTTTCCTTCTTTCATTTTTGAATCACTGAATCAGTTGGACCACTTCACCATAGTATCCGTCTGCATTGAATCTTTTACTTACCATGATATACCTTTTTGTTCGCCTTACGCTCAGAATTCAAACTGAATCGAGATAAAAGGCGGTCGATGATTCTAATTAATGACTTAATTACACTTAATGTGTTACGCTAGGCAGCTGTTGTTTTGTTATACTCGCGATTCAAGATTGATTCGCTTTTACCTCGCACTTTCACGTTTATAATTGCCGAATGTTTCCATATTGTACCAACGGACATGTATATATTGTTAAATATCAAAGGAGCAAAGCTAACCCAATCCCTTGAATTAAATAACATTTTGTTATTTCATGTGTGTATAGCAAAATGTAAATTAATTAATTTCTCTGGTTGAATTGCTTAATTTCAAAGTAAACATTATTAATGTATGTACTTACTAAAAATAACAAACTAAATTTGGATTATTATACATTTTACTAGTTGTTTAACTCCATTGTTTTAATTGAGTTGATGACATATTGAATAGGAGCAGTGGTAATCTAAAAAAAATTATTAAAAATTACTCGATTTTTGATAGAAACGTATTTATAAATGTAAATTCATAATTTTAAATTAGATATAATGAATGTATTAAACATTATGAATTTAACAATGTAGAGAAGAGGTACGTGTCTATCGCAACCGTGACTTGAAATCCGAGGTAAGGGGAAATGACGCGTTTACGAGAGATTCTCACAATACGATAGCGTTGTCGCCAGTGATGGCTATGAATCATACATATGTAAATTACGTTGTAATCTTATAAGGTGGAGGTCAGTGCCTCTCATTGTGGCTTGTACTGGACGCGAAGTTTCGCACCGTATCTGCAGTCGTTTCCTCTCGAAATTGAAATCACACAAACGAAAATCGCATTCTCTCCGGAAATAATATTTTTAAGATGGACTTGGACTCGCCAAAAGTAAATTCTTTCTCTTTTGTTTCAGATTTAATTCATTGCACCAATGAACCGAATGTCTCCATACCGCAGCTCGCTAATCTCCTGATAGAACGCTCACAGAATACAAACTGGACGGTAGTCTTTAAGGCCCTGATCACCGTGCATCACATGATGTGCTATGGCAACGAGGTAATTACCTTTCGGGCGCTGGTCTGATCTGCGAGACGTATATTCTTCTGAAATGACTTTTCTATTTACAGAGGTTCACGCAGTATCTCGCGTCCAGCAACAGCACGTTTCAACTCAACAATTTCCTCGACAAGAGCGGCGTACAAGGTGATTATTTTGTAAATGATCGTATTAGCGGGGGTTTGCGTTTTTCTCGGGATATCACAATATGTTCCAGAATTGACGAACGCCAACGATACCAAGCATTATCTTTTACGAAATTCCCACTGAGAGAAAAATTGGTCGTAATTACCATTATTTAACTATAATTTACGGTCATTTTTGGTGCCCATTATATATTTTATGGTAGAACTATAAACATAATTATTATTACTAATGTTGGTGCGCTCAGCAGAAAAAGTATAGCTTTTGCAACTGCAGTTGTAGGATTCTTTAATATAATTGGTTATATTTAGTGAGGAATTTTAAAGGCAAGAACTATTTGTATTAAAGATCTCACACAAAATTATCTTTTCTACTGAATGCAGCCGATATAACAGTAATGACTATAAAAATGAATTTCTCAATCATCATTATTTTATTATACAATTATAGTAACATTTTTCTTAGTGTGATATGAATAATGTTACGTCATTTGTTGGCATCTCGTAAATTTAACTTATAAAAGAATAATTATCATTTTAAAACAAGATAAAGTTACAAACAAATATAAACATTTTGTTAAAAATTTTAATTTTTTTTACAAAGGATAATTATTCTTCAAACTCTGTAATGAAAATAAGGTGTCGTATCTAAAAAAAACTAATCTTTTAACCAAATTTGGAAATGCGATTAATCTGGGAAGATTAACATTCATTTTGCGTATTAACAAAATCATTGCGATATGAACTCATCACAACACGATGTGCACGGCTTTCTGCACTCCCGCCTAAAAAAATTGTAGACAACATCCAGTCATCAAAAGACTCTAATGTCAATAATCGAGCGAGCTGATTTGATATGCACGTGTCGCACGGAAAATTGCAACACGCCGTAATTTGAATAGCCGATCGCGGAACACCTCAATTTTACGTCGAGAACTTGTTTACAGGAGACCTAATTTTATTCACTAATTAGAGATCGTTAAGCGTAATGTTAATTGAATGTTACATCAATCGACAGCAATTATTGAATTGTTTAAATAATGATTATAAATTGTTTAAACAATACGAAACGATACTCCTCTATTCCATTTACAAATCTTTTAAAAAGTTTCTATACTACTGATTTTCTCGCATTATGTAGCTATTATCCATATGGGAAATGCAAATCATTCTCTTTTCCATGTATCTATGGCATCTATGTGTACGATTTACTAACCTGGACTAACTTTCTATCTCTTTGGGCATGAAGCAGGAATACGCGTGGGTGAGTTCTAATCACAAACGTCCTTCTCGTTTTACTATTAATGGTACTTATTAACCATGCTTCATAGTTCTATATTTGTGTTCATTTCTATTATAACTTGGCGAGAATACAAGAAATTAATGTATGTTTATGAACCTAACTGTTAATCTATGTATGTACCAATTGATGTGTATTGATAATTACAACCAAATACTATAAATATATGATTAGGCTTACAAGATGTTTGACAAAATTATAGTTTCCAATCGGCGCTGCACGCTTGTGTAACTTTATGAAATTAATGCAATCGCATCGGCGCACTGCCGACTTTCTAATTTCACTTTTACGCATTGTTGCGTGGCAATGCCTATTAGTGCTTTTGTTGTGTCTGCGGTATTTATTTTGAATACAAATGAGTAATTATCGTTCTGTTCTGTGCATCAGGATATGACATGTCGCCCTTCATCAGGCGCTACGCCAAGTATCTCAACGAGAAGGCTCTCTCCTACAGGACGGTAGCGTTCGACTTTTGCAAGGTGAAAAGAGGGTACGTGTTGAGAACATTTTTTTCTAGACCTCTTGAAATTTTATCTCGCTGTATTTAACGAGAGAATTAACCTTCGTTCCGTAATTGACATTGCAGGAAGGAAGACGGCACTCTACGCACAATGAATGCCGAGAAACTCCTGAAAACTTTACCGGTACTGCAGTCGCAACTTGACGCACTGCTAGAATTTGATTGCACGGCTAACGACCTCACGAATGGCGTCATAAACATGGCCTTCATGCTTCTCTTTCGAGATCTTATCCGATTATTCGCCTGTTATAATGATGGCATCATTAATCTGTTAGGTAACGCTATTCAATAGTCTCTTTTTTTATCGCACAAGAAATGCATATTCAAAGATCTATGAGAATGGATCAATTAATCCGATGATTACGGTAACCTTCCAGAGAAATATTTCGACATGAACAAGAAACAATGTCGGGATGCTTTAGATCTTTACAAGAAGTTCCTTATACGCATGGACAGGGTCGGGGAATTTCTGAAAGTTGCGGAAGTAAGTTACACGATCTGTATGTGAAAGCAATCAATGATGTTAAAGATAGTCATTGAACATGTTTCTTTTCTTTACAGAATGTTGGTATCGATAAAGGAGATATACCAGATTTGACGAAGGTACGTGTGCTTAAAGTTTATTATCTCGCTATCACGCTATATTGTTTAGAATAAAAGTTTGTTCAATTGTCTTTAATTACCGGTTTGAGGAACTATTAACAATGAGTGAGCGAAAAAACTAATATTTAACCGATAAAGTATGATAATATTTTCATTTGTTTCTTCCTCTTACATTACTGACAGGTAATAACATCTCTGATTATATTATTTTAATGAGGTAGAGTTAGTGTGGCATAGTATAGAGCAGCATAGATAATTGGGCGATATTTATTTTGGGAGATTTTGTGAGCCAATTACACTGTAATTTTTTTTTATGTTTTTTAATACGCGCGCATTAAAAAAAGTAGTATAATGAAGGTGACAAATTCTCCTAAATAAATGCATGTATTTTAGCGGAGAGAAATCTCTTCTAGACTAAATATGCACAGCTAAATTTTACTTTGCACTTAACTGAAAAATTTTAATAACGTTCTGTAAATAATGGGCAAATGATTTTTTTAGGCACCGAGTAGTTTATTGGATGCCTTAGAACAACATCTCGCTTCCTTGGAAGGAAAGAAGGGCTCCGCCGCAAACACGCCAACGCAGTCAGCAAGGTATGTCGACTTTTTCCATTTATTCGACTCATTTAAGTCTCATATAACAATCGATGTAGGGATAATTTTAAATTTCCTATGTTGAATGCTATTGAAATCGATATACTTGATCTCCCTCTCTATATACTTCCCGAAAGTCCATCGTTTTCGTCTCATTGTTCTTTCATACCCGATAATCAAAGACACGTTCTTCTACACATCTTTACAAGCTTCTTAAGCTATGAGTATTTAAATATTACGTTTATCGCACATGCACATGTAACAATTATGACACAGGATTGTGTTCCTTTATTTCGAATACGATAAGTTGATCATTGATTATTTTATATTCATAAAAATACCGTGTCACTTTTATTTTTCTTAAACAAATGTCACAAAAGGTTTTGGAAGATAGTACTATCTTTGGATATATTCTCTATTTGAATAGTTATCCAACTTGTAAAATTTGTCGAGATGGTATCCCCTGGATACAAGGTTATAATTTTCTCTGATATTTAATATTTAGTTATAGAATATTCAATTTACGTTTGTATCCTGACCTATTTTAGGTATCCATGCTATGCTCCTAAATTTGGTATTCAATTTTTATGTATACGTGTGTGTGTTTCTCACTGAAATTCTGTAAATATAATTATTGCGCTATCTAATCTCTATCGCTCTTGTATACTGCATGAATTTACAATAATGTATTTAGATAATTGACGCGTTTCCCTATAGTCTATTGATTATAGTGGATACCGAGCATGCTATAATAAATCGTCAATTGAAATTAATAATATTGATGATTTAATTTTATTGCTTAAAATTTAATAACGAATAATGTTAATTGATATGGCTATAATAGTAAAATTTGTTGGATATGAAATGGCATTTATTGTAATAAATATTTAACTCATTGAAGTACATAATCAGTGTTAAAATAATAATAACGTTTCAATGCACATATATTTATCTGTACAAATTGCTTATTATCGTAGTAAATTCACCATACTTATAGTATGCTATTGAAAAATGAACAGTCTCTAAATCAATGTGTACTATGTAATACAATTTGTTTGAGTATACACAAGCTTGATGCCATGTTTCACTACAAAATATAGAACACCTGTAAATGCATATATGTATATTAGGAAATTTAGTAAAAAAATAAATGTAAAAGAAGAGCGAAAGCGTGTGAGAAAGAAGAGAAAAAAGGAGTGTGTATGCGTGCGCGAAAAAGAGAAAGGATGCATGCAAGCGGCGTGCGAGTGGTAATGCACACTATGCATTTTTACGCATTGTTACATCTATACGTACTACACCGTTTGTTTTTTGTTTTTTTGTTTGTCTCTTCTCCTTTGTTTTCAATTATCAATTTTCCTTTACGCTCCTTTCTCTCTCTCGCCACATTTTACGAACTCGCTGAAACGGACCTTCCGTATTCTTCTTGTCCGTCCTCTTTTCTCCATCCATCGACACCACAACATCCTATCATCGCCCAAAAGCAGCAATAGAACCAATGTAAAGTCGGGAGTGTCCGCCCTGTCTTCCACCAGTAACGCGTTCGGAACAGCAGCCAGCAATGCGCGGCTCGAGCAAACCGGGAATGGCCATATCGACGAGGCGTTGCGACAGCAAGCTCTCGCGGAAGAGGAAGCCGCCATGAATCAATACAAGGTACTAGTTTGCGCAAAGTATTATTAATTAAAATAAGAAACGAAGCTTTGACAGATGGAAAATTTTCAGATGATAGTAGCGATGCTATTATCATTCTAACGTATTAATTTTCTATTTAAGTTTCAGATATTTCAGTATTCGTTTGTTTCAATTTCTTCTTCCATTACAATTCCCTGCATATACTTAAATGTTATATTAATTTCTAATGTATATGTTGCAGGCAAAAGTACAATCGCCGTCAAGTACTAGCACGAATCCCTTCCTCAGTTCGCCAACCAATAATGCTAATCAACCGATTGTGGACTTGTTTGGTGCAACAGCCGAGAGCCAGGTACGTCTATGTCTTTCGTTTGACCAGTGGTCTGTTCTTTTCAACTGAATTTTTTGCATTATTCATCTTTCCACTTATTTTTTCTACAATGGAGAGAAAAGCATGAAAGACGAGCGATACAAGAAATTCAACCGAAAAGAACTGATCTAAGAGTGATTCCATTTGAAGCGAGCTAATCAATTGTTGTAACAACAGTCGTCTCAAAAGGCATCGGATGATCTACTGCAACTTGCGGGCAATCCGTTCGCGAACATGTTCGGGGCGCAACCACCTACAGGAACGACGCAACCCGCCGCTCAGATGCAGAACAACATGTGGATGACCAACGGTACTGGTGAGCACGAGCACTTAAAAATCGATATAGTCTCAGTGATCATCGCTGCTTCTCTCGTCACCGCGCTTGTTTATGATATTTTTCCCCCTTTTATTTTAATTCATTTTCTTTCATTTTTCCATTTTCTTTTTTTCTTTTAGGTTTCGCGCCAACTGCGCCACCAGCAAATAATAACTTTGTTACAGATAATAGTTTTTCCTCCGTGTTCGGAAATCAAGATCAGCAATCCAGTAAGTGCTTCACTAGCGAAGTAGACATAAGACGGGATTATATTATACGAGCGCATTCACATGATTGAAATATTCCGTTTACTTCCATTTTCTTTTTCTCTGCCTTTATACATCTCTCTTCTTCTTTCTGTCATAGAACTTTTGCGGCCATTTTTATGATACTTTTGCATCATACATCTTATACATTTTTTAGATACTTAGTACGCCTGAGCAATCACACTTGCTGTTTAACGCTATGGGCAAAGATGTACCGGATGAAGCAGCGTTTATAAACAGTGTTTATAAACAGCGTTTATAAACAGCGTTTATAGCTACAAAAACAGTTTTGTTGCCATACACAATAATAGTAATGGCCGTGTTTAACAAAATGTTTATTTTGCAATTATTGGAAGTTGTCTTCGTGCTAATTTTATTGTATTTTTAGATTCAAAGGAATAACCCTATCTTAGCAATGAAAACTTTAAATCGTTGCAAAATAAACATTCTCTTCAACACGGCCAATGATAATTTACTTTATTTTCCATTTTTTTCTTTTCATATTGTGGCTACTAATAAGCGCTGGTTATTCGATATATTCTTCAAGTGCAACATTGACGCGTGATATTATAAAAGAATGCAACCGAGCTATATTGCGTTAATATTGTATTTGAATATTTCTTTTTTTCTCTTTAATTAACGTATTAACGGGTGACGGTGTAACAATTGCAAAACATTTTACATTATTACTTCGTCCGGACGCAAAAGAGGAGGAAGCTAACTTATGCACCTTGATCACTTTCTGCGCAAGCTGGCGCCCCAGGAACGGCCGCGTCCGTACCTAATCCCTTCATGTCCGATTTCCCGTCCCTCGGTACCACCGGCGGCCAGCAGGCGACAAACGCAGGCGCCTTCGGGCTCTTCGATCAGAACGCCGGCGGCGTTGTTGGCGGTGAATCGGTGCAAGCAGCGCAGACGGGGACGGTAGCAGCCGGAGACCTTTTCAGTGCCGGTCAGACGGATCTCTTTGGGGGTGACGGGTCCGCCGCCGCGATGAGGACCCCCGCAAACGGCGGCG